AAAAAGCAAAGGGCTGGCAGGGTCCCCACCCCAGCTTTTGTACTGGGAATTGAACCCAGAGCCTTTGCATCTAGCCATATCCCTAGCCTATTATGATTGTTATTGTTGTTCATTTATTTATTTTTTTAAGAAAGGGGCTCACAAGCCTGGCATGGTGGCTCACGCCTGTAATCCCAGCACTAGGGAGGCTGAGGCAGGAGGATCGCTGTGAGTTCAAGACCATCCTGGGCTACATAGTGAGTTTCAAGTCAGTCTCAACTACATAGTGAGACCCTGTCTCAAAACAAACAAACAAACAAACAAACAAAGGGGCTCACTAAATTCCTTGGGCTAGGCTCAAGCTTTTGATCCTCCTGCCTCAGCCTCCCAGAGTGTTGGGATTTCAAAGTGTGCACTACCATACCTGACTGTTTGAGATTTCTTATTAATAGCTACTAGAGTTTTGGCTGTTACAAATTCCTGCAAATTCTGCATGTAAAAATACTAAAGAAAATAAGCAAACAAAAACCAAGATGGTAATGACTATTTGGCAAAACCACCCCACTTTGGTGTTGTCCAGAAATAAGGATTTTGAGGCAAAATGCATGCTTCCGCCATTATCCCCAAAGCACTCGCCTTTGTTAACCGGAGCTGTTTCCTCACAAACATTTACTGCTGGATGTCAAATACTGTGTTCTGTCATGAGATCTGCTTTTTTTTTTTTTTTTTTTTTTTAAGAAGTCAATAAACTTTTAATGGCTATAACTGTTTCAGGGAGCTATTGCAAATATTTTGTAAGAATGTCCTTTCTCTTTCCTGGTTTGGGATTCTCTTGGTTCTTGTGTACTTTTATTAAAATAAAAAGTCATTAGTGTAAAGACTTCCTCTTTTATTTCCAGTCAGGTTTTCATTCACACACTTGAGTACATGACCACAAGTGTGCAGTCAGATGCATTTTGAGCAAGTGAACGTACCTGTGCGAGTGCACCAAGATCAAGAAATGGTGGTTCCAGAACAACCTGTCCGGAGCAATCTGTCCCCACCCATCCTCACCCCAAGGATTGCCACTGCCCTGCCTTTTACTACCTTAGATTTGTCTTGCCTGTGTGGAACTCAATGTAAATGACATTATACAGTGGCTATTTATAGAGTTTTGAAAACGTGGGAATTCATTGCCAGGATTTACAGTTTAAAATATGTCACATAAACATCTGAACTTTCTTTTTCTTTAAAAACAAAATATGTGACAGGATCTCTGTGGTGATGGAACTGTTGTTCTATGTCTTGACTGAATCAGTGTGAACATCTGTGTCCCCTAACTAACTCTCCTTCTACGTGCTCCTGAACTGGCAACACTTTGTCACTGGAACCTTGAGCCAGTCACTTTATCTCTCTGAGCAGCAACATTGTGTGATATTGCACTAGAGCTTTGCAAGATGTTACCACCAGGGACCCTGGGTAAAGGGTACTGGGGACCTCTCTGAGTTATTTCATATAGCTGCATACAAAGTCACAGCATCTCAACATTGAAAGCTTAATTTACAATAAAAAATAATATACTAAACAGCAAACAAAGCTGACAGATGTGAAAATACTGGGGTTGACTTTCTTGTGGCAACAACTGGCTGGAGCTAGGGGCCTGTGGATGGGGACAGTGCTGATGTGCTGCTGACCCCATACCACGTCAGACGGGCCCAGCTCCACGCATTCCTTAGCTGTCTACCCCCAGGCCTGGGTCAGTGCCGGGTAAGGAGCTGGAGCCACAAGAGGTCTCTTTTTTCAGTTGTGTACTATTTCAGGATTGCATTTCCTCAGTCCTGTTCCCCAAGGAGTCTTACCAGATTTTGGTGTATTCGCCTTGTCTATTTGATGTCAGTTTTCATTTTATATCTTTGGAGGGACCTGGGAGGGGCTGTGTGGAGCTCTGCTAGCTGGATGACATCTAAAATCAGAATCACCACCCATCGTGAAATCATTTTTAGTGACATTATTTCCTGGTTTTTGATCCTTCTAACTCCTAAACTGACCCTCCTCCATGGGCCCCTCAATTGGCAACACTCAGCTACAGTCACTAGAACCCTGAACAACTCACTTTATCTCTCTGAGCAGCAACATCCTCATGAAGATTGGGGTCCTGTGTTTCCTACACTGGGGCTCAGCAAAGTCAAGTGTAGGACTGCACTTTTTTCCCAGTCCACAGTACACTGACATGTGGTGCCAAGATCTATGGCTAGGGCAAAGCTCAGACCCTGTGACTCCTACAGTGCAACCTGTAACACCACACTCTTCTGTGTCCTGTCCTGGGAGTCCTCGGATCATGGCTTTGCACATTCTTGCATGGTCAATTTATTTATAATAACTTTATTCTTTTTTTTTTTTTTTTTGAGACAGGGTCTTATTATGTAGTTGAGTCTGACCTGGAACTCACTATGTAGCCCAGGCTGGTCTTGAACTCACAGCGATCCTCCTGCCTCAGCCTTCCAAGTGCTGGGATCACAGACATGTGCCACCATGCCTGGCTTATAATAACTTTAAATACTCTCAGCTTTTGTAGCTATCTCCTTTAGGACCAGTTACATTTCCTGGGGGGTCTGCAGACTATATTTGGGAAGTATTGTCCCAAGTTTTGTCAGTAATCAGAAAGTTCTGGAAAGATTAATAAGTAAGGTATTAAAAAACAAAACAAAATCTGGTTCCACGTTAGCACACTAAAGGCTCTGAGAAGTACTTAGCTTCCAACCAAACAAAATTGTCTCATTTTGTTTGACCCAGCATTTCCTTTTGAATATGAACCCCCCCCCCATTCAATACCCACTAATACCGTGAAGAGTGGTGTTTGTCCTGATGCCAAGTCAGGGTGTGTGTGTGTGGGGGGGGAGCCAGGTCTCCAAAGTTTCCGGAATTTTGAGAGTGTGTCCCTTGATTCTTCGCTCTCTTCTTGTCCACGTTGAGCCCTGGGAATAAGCCTCCCTTCCTAGTGCCCGAGTTATGGACCCCATAGCTCTTCCTCCTGTGAAGTCAACCTGCTCATGCGCTGTCCAGTAAGGGTCTGTAGCCCACTTCGCAGTACTGAGATGGCTGCTGTGAGAAGTGCACAGAGCAGAAAGAAGACTTCCAGTAAATTAAGGGCCCGGACAGAAGGCTGCTGAGGTGAGGCCGGGGCAAACAGAACTGCTGATGAGGACCGCAAGTCAGATCTTGTTGGGTGCTTCAGTCAGCTCCCACGGGCAGGTCGTCTGTGAGCGGCTAATTGCACGTTCAGCGTTCCTCCTGGCGCTGATGTGTGTTTTCGGAGGTAAGCGTACTGTCCCAGTGATGGTTACGGAGGGAGACGCAGGATGGTGTTGAAAGGTCGAGTTTTTTTTCTGTTCTGCTTGGCGCAGCAGCGGCTCTCGTGGAGATTATCTTTTAATTAACCAACAGCTTCTCCTCCTCCCCTCTTTCTATTCTGATTCAGGCAGTGCTTCCAGCAACCACTTTTGCTTACCTATGCTTAAATTCTTACGTATGTGTAAAATTCCATAATAATCCTTATTGGAAGAAAAGTAAAATCTCTTTAGCATTGCTGACAACACTCTTATCTTAAATTTCCATTACTTGTTAGACTTTCTCTGAACTGATTAGAATTTCATGAAAAACCCTCGAAAATGACGCAGACAAAAAACTCACCTTCCATAGCTTTCCCAGTGTTCTGCTTTTTACATCTTATGCTTATTTTGTAGAAGAAGGCCTGCAGAGTTCGGAACTGAAGCCCAGACATACTCCTTCCTGGCTATGTGATCTTGGATAAGTTACAAAATGTTCTTATCTCATTTTCCTCACCTGCGAAATGGGGATATTTGTAAAGTACTTTCTAGAGTTGGTGTGAGATGTAAAGATACTAAAATGGGCTGGGGGTGTAGCTCAGTGGTAGGGCACTAGACTGGCATGTGCTAGGCCTTGGGTTCCATCTCAAATTCTGGGCAAGGGGAGAAAAGGTTAAAAAGAAGTTGGCCAGGATTTAGTTCAGTGGTTCTGCTGCCTGCCTTGCAAGCGCAAGGTCCCGGGTTCGATCCCCAGTGCGCCCCCCAACCAAATTACAAAGTTTTTTGGGTTTTTTTGTACCGGGTATCGAACTTGGGACCTTGTGCTTGCAAGGGAGGTGCGGTGTCACAGAGCTAAATCCTTGACCCAAAAAGAAGTTGTTAAATAGCTGGTATTTATTGCCCTCCCATGCTCTAGCCTGTGACCCAGAGTTCCTATACAGCCTTTGCTGCTTGTCCTTGATTCTGTGCTTTGACACTGCTTGCTCTTTTGTAAACCAATCCTCATTTTTCAGGATTCATATGGATTTAAACTTTTCAGTGAAGCCTTTGCTGTTAGAGTTCATCCTTCTTGTGCTGTTACTACCTGGTATGTACTTTTTTTTTGGTATGTGCTTTATTATGCACATTACCTGGATTTTTGCTAGTTTGAAAGCTCCTTGAGGCTACAATCTTATCATTTTATTCACCACTGAATTCTTGAAGAGATAGTGCCTGATACCAGGTAGTTGCTCAAAACTATTCAAAAAAAAAAAAGAGTAACAGGAAGGGGAAAGAAATGATGGATGGGATTTTGGCACAATCTAAGATCCACTTTAGATAAGATTTCCATGTTTTTTCATCAAACTTTTTCTTTTGGAAGAGATGTAGAGAAGAGAGTGTATAACATTTACTGCACTTACTTGTGCTTCAAATTCTTCCTGATTAGGGGCAGTGGTAGTGGCAGGAGGGAAGGAGGGCTGGTTGGTCAAAGAGTGGCCTGCAGTTACCAGGGAAGGCTGACTGCGGACTCATAGGTAAATTTTTTTTTTTTTTGGTTACCGTGGATCAAACTCAGGATCTTGTGCTTGCAAGGCAGGTGGAGGAACTACTGAGCTAAATCCTTGCCCCTCCCTGGTAAATTCTAAATAGGTGACAGGTGGTGTGGGAAAAGCAAGATTGCTCTGGGGTTGACTTGCAGGTCAGGCAGGCCTGGCTTTGAATTGGCCTGCTTCATACCTGTGGAACCTTGGTCATGCTTCTTATTCACCGAGTTGTAGACTTTGGTCAATTTCCTCTCTCCTTGTCAGCAGCTGTGCCAGAACTCTCTCCTCAGGATTTCTGCTCCCTTATCTCCTTCCCTCACTCTGAGTCAGTGACTTTTCTTCCCTATTTACAATCAGAGCAGAAGCAATTAGATAAGAATTCCTTTGTGGAAGAGGAAAATAAAAAACAGAACTTTATAAACACACACACACACACACACACACACACACACACACATCAAAAACAACAAAAACCTTCAATTTCTACCCCAACCCTTTTGTCTTCAAAGTTAGTCGTATCTGTGTCTGTCCTAAGGTTCCCCTTTATCTCCACTGAGCACATGAATTATCTTCCAAACTGAGATACCGGACTGTGCAAGGAACACTGTTAGTCATTACAGTGGAATAATAAAGTGTGAACCAGAGTGGTTCGAAGCACCTGGAACATTCTTCATCTCTTGTTAATGATGAAAGAGGCACATTTTCTTCTGTCTACGGGATCATTCCTAGAAGCATGTTAACATGCGAAAATCATTCCCTTCCTAAAACCAACAAATAAACCCCAACTAGACAAATAAAACTCTTCCCACCTACACCCCCTTCCAACTACCTCCTTCTCTGTTTTCCTCTATAAGATCCATCCTTGGAAGAGGGAACTTTTTCTTCAGCAACCAGTCCCCTCAATCTTTCATGAGACAGTCTGGCTTCTGGCTTTTCTGAGGAAACTGCTTTTGGCAAGTTCACAAATTTCAAAATCTCCTGGACACTTTGATGTGCATTTGACTTGAATCTCAGCAGCACTAGAAATTTTGTGCATTTGCTAGTTTTTTGAAACACCCCTACCCTCTGGCTTCTGTGATCTTGCTCTCTTGTTAAGTAATTTTCTTCCCTCTTTTTATTCTGGACACAAGTATTCGATCTTTTGAGTTGTCCCCTCTTCTTATCCTTTAAAAAGTAGGTGGTCTCAGCCAGATGTGGTGGTGCATACCTGCAATCCTAGCACTTGGGAAACTGAGGCAGGAGGATCTCTACAAGTTCAGGGCCAGCCTGAATTACAAACAGAGACCTTGCCTAAAAAAAAAAAAAAAAAAAAAAAAAAATAGCCTAGATTCTGTCCTAGGACTTTGCCTTTCCTACCCTGCTCATTTCCACAATTACTTTCTAGAAGGGCTAAAGACGTCAGGCTGGCATCTCCAGCCCATTGCTGTCTTCAGCACCCGGATCTATACATCCTGCTGAGCACTGTCTAAGGGCAAAATGTTAACAAATTTAGTTTGAAGACCTTTTTGTTTGAAGGCTTTTATTTGAGGTTCTAGAATTTGGCAGTTGATAAAATAGGAGTTGTTTTACTTTATTTTAGATGAACATGTATTAATCGTTCATATTAATGGGTTTCGGTGTGAACTTTCAATGTCTGTGTACAGTGTACATAAATCCAAACTGGCTTTCCTTTATCCTGCCAACCTCTGGTGATCAAAACTCCACACTGAAGTCTACTGTTTTTTAGCTTTCACATATGAAGAAGAGGAGATCAACTTTACAGTCAGAAAGGGCTGAAGAAAGTAAACACAGAACCCAAAGCAAATTGGCAATCTCTGTGGTATTTTCTTTAAAGGATTAGGACAGAGCAGACTTCTGTGCCGCTCCATGGACTGCGTCCCTTTTGATCGGTTGTTGTGCATCTCCTGTTTTCGTCTTTAAACCTGGCCGGTTTCAGAGCTGAGTTTGATTACACAGCACCTCACGGGAGTGACTCCATCATGGTTTGGTCTAGTGTGGGTAGGAGGCTAGTGCAAAACAATGGCCTCCCGTAGACCTTGTTTGAACATCTCTGGCTCCACGGGAACCTCAAAGGCATCAATTCCTCAGCTTCTCTATTTCAGTCACCTCCCACCCAGTTACCTCTGCCAGAAACTGGAGAATGACCCTTCAGTGTGTGCTCTCTCTCACTCCCACTTCTGCCATGCCAATCCCCCTCCATTCCATCTCCCTAATGTCTCACAGTTCTTCAGCCTCCCTGTTTCAGTTCAGGTCGCACTCACCCTGCCAGCTGGGCTGCTGATCCTGGAAGCAGCCTCCTGCCTTGCCTTGCCGTTCTCTCGCTATCACATTCAGTGACCTTCTGATCCCTGCACTCAGTGACCTTGACAGATCTGACCAAGGCACTTTTGCTTAAACATTTTCAGCATAGCCTCACTCCCTTTAGGATAAATCCTTAACCCTTATCAGAGGCCTCCTAAAATCTAACCACATAGGATCTCCTGCCTCATCTCATTCACCTTGGTCTTTCAATGTCCTTTGCTTTTTTTTGTTTTGGGTACCAGGGATTGAATCAGGACCTTGCATTTGCAAGGCAGGGACAGCACCACTGAGCTAAATCCCTGGCCCATCCCTTGTTTTGTTTTCTCTCTACCCACATTTTATTTTTCTTTGGCTAGAAAGGCCATGCTTTCTCTTCCCTCCCGGGCTCTGCACCCCCTCTGTCTCCTCCCTGGGAGCACCTCTCAAGTGTCCGTCTCCGATTGCCTACTCGTACATGTCTTCAGAACTTGACACAAAGATAGCTGCAAGAAGTGGTCATGTTGTATGCCGTTGAGTGATTTGTTAGATTTATTTATTTTCTTCAGTCCTTAGAACCACTCTATGATGAAAGCTTCATTAACCTTACAGAATAGCTGAAAAAACAGGGACTCACATACCAGTCAGAGCCATCATTTTATATACAAGCTTGATAATTTTACCATCTTGATGTTGTGCAACTATTATTACTATACTTCTCCAGACATTTTCATATTTCCAAACTGAATCTCTATACCTATTAAACACTAACTCTTTTCCCTTTCCCTTTCCCCCAGCCCTGGCAGCCCCATTCTACTTTCTCTCTCTATGAATTTCACTGTTCTTGGTCCCCTGCTTAAGTAGAATCAGACTTACAGGTTCTGTGACTAACTTATTTGTGACTAACTTGTTTCGCTTGGCATAATGTTTTCAAGGTTCACCCATGTTGAAGCATGGGTCGAATTTCCCTTTTAAGGCTGAACATATTAATATGTCTGTGTATGCCACATTTTGTTTATTAATTCATACTCTGATGGGTATTTGAGTTGTTTCCACCTTTTGGCTAGTGTGATTAATGCTGTTATGAACATGGATATACAAAAAAGTCTGTTGAGTTTTTGCTTTCAATTCTTTTGTTTTGTTTTGGTACCGGGGATTGAACTTGGTCCTTGTGCTTGTGAGGCAGGTGGTGGAACCACTGAGCCAAATCCCCAGCCCTGCATTCAATTCTTGTGTGCATATATTGAGTAGAATTTCCACTTTGTATGGTAATTCTGTTTAATTTTTTGACAAACTACAAAGTGCTTTACCTTCTCCTAGCAGTGCAGAGTCCACCTCCACATTCTTACCAATAGTTACTGCCTGTTTTTAATTTTTATTTTTTTATAACAGTCATTCTAATGGGTGCAATCTTTAACTATGGTTTTGGTTTGTATTTCCCTAGTGATTAATGGTGTTGAAATCTTTTCCTAGGCTTTTTGCTGTTTTGTATCTCCTTTGGAGAAATTCAAATCCCAATTTTCAATTGGGTTTGTTGTTTTTGTCGGGTTGTAATTCTTTATATTTTCTGGACAGCAATTCTTTAGCAGAAATGTGATTTGTAAATATTTCCATCACTCTGTGGGTTGCCTTTCATGACCTTTTAATGGCTGCACTGAATAAAGACAAAGTTCTTTATGAGGCCCACAAGGCCGTGTACGGTTTGGTTTCCCTTATGTCTTCTGTTCTCATTTTCGGGTTATCACCCTTTTCCTCTGCTTCAACTGCAGGAGCTTTTCTTCAAACACTCTAAGCCTACTACCACTTCAGGTCTTCAGGCCTTTCTACTTCCGCTGCCTGAATATTCTTCCTCCTCACTTCATCCAGATTTTTCTTCCGTATCATCTACTGTTGAGAGTCATTCTACATACATTTTCAGGGAAAATCATTTCATAAGTAAAGTATGACTCTAGCTGTCTAAGACCCACGGTCACCTTGCCTGTGAGCCAGCTATGGCGTGTGGAAACAACTCTGTTTTGCCTCCAGTCACATTGAGGTCTCAGTGGTCCATAATACTTTTACTCTCAAGGGCAAGTGTACATCAGCTGAAGACATCCTGGTTCTTCAAGAACCGAGTAGGTAAAACAAACAAAAAAAGAGATAGAGAGAAAGGTTTCACCTGGGGGAAGGACAACTTCTTTATTAGCCTGCTATTTTGGCCCACCTACTATTGTAGAATGCTCTCCTTACTGCCCTCATCAGTATGAGGTCTTGTGACCTAGGATCGTCATCAGCATAAGATCCACATAAACACAGGATTACCACTGCCCGCTAAGTGACCTGACACTCCACTTATTGTGTGGAGCCAATAAATAATGGCTAGCTCGGAATGTCTGTCTTTGCCCATTCCAGCCCCTCATATACTTGAAATTATGCAAGTCTCTACTGTCTTTTTTTTTTTCTTTAGCCCTTGCAGTCCCCCTTTCTAGGCAGAGGAACGATCACCCTCTGGTAATCTAATCAGAGAGGCCATTCCTGACTACCACAGGTTACTTTATTTACTGCTGTATTCCTTGTGGCTAGGAAAATGCCTCGCATGCCATTGTGCTCAAAACTTGCTTGTTAAATGAATGAATTAATAAAATAGGCCTGTGATTCACACTCCGGACCCATACTTCCTAACAAATTACTTTGGATGTTTACACTTCTGGGAAGCCTCTGAGGCTGGCTTAAAGACCCTTCTTTTGTAGTTATTACAATTTAATTTCACAATGTATTATAATCACATATTCATTTGGCTGTGTTGAGGGCAAAAATTGATTTGCTGTCTAGCACCTAGCCTGATATCTGACAATAGGAGTCAGTAGATAATAGAATGAATAAATGTCTCTAAGCCTCAATATCCTTATCTATAAAGTGAGGATATCTTAGAGTTATGGAGATCAGAAATAATATATGCATAATACGCCTACCACAGTTCTGGGTACACAGTGAGCATCTGATAAATTGTAATTTTCATTTATTAATGGTAATTTTTATGTTAAAACTACCATTATTCCAATCAGAATGAAGTAAAATAAAATATCTAATGCTCTTCCTTACTAAATTTGGTGTTGTCACTTACTCAGTGTTAAAGAAACTTGGTGAATGAGGGAGATTGCCCCAATATTATGAAAAGTTACTGTAAGACCTAACTGAACTAAAGTGAGTCCATGTTGGATGAGCAATGGTCCCAGACGCTGTTGTGTACCACTCCCCTTTGTAGTTGCACCCCTACTTTTGCTTAGGAATGTAAAACTGCATAATTTTGTAATCTAAATCCTAGTCTCAACTGGGATTAATGTAAATTAACAGGTGAACATTTAGTAGTTCTGGGTAAATAGATAAAGATTGTTTCACTCTTTGTCTGCCCAGAGGAATGTTTTGAAAACCTTGGGACATTCTGTAAGCATCTTGAGTAGACCCCCACCCTGGCTATCCCCTTATAAAAAGGACCTCAGCCCCAGGGCTGGTGCCTCTCTGAGCTGTTTGGCTCCAGGCATGCCATCTGGCCAGACTAGTAAAGGTCTGTTCCCTTTCCAACATGTCAGGTGTGTTCCTTCCTGGGTGAACCTCGTGGCTGTCGCGCTCTTCGGAGCGGTAAAGTTTTGCTCTTCGGAGTGATAGAATTGAGCTCCTTGGAGTGGTAGTAAGGCCTTAGGTCTTACAGTTACAAAAATGCAGAAAAGTTGTAAGAATTTTACCATGAATACCTGTGTTCTTCAAATAACATTTTGCTTGCTTTATCACTGTCCATCTATTCATCCATCCATCCATCTTGTTTTCTTTGGATGTATTTTGAAACTAAATCACATAAATCAGGATGAATCCCCCTAGATACTTCACCATTGATGAGAAAGTATTTGTTTACAATTCCTTTAAAAATATTAAAGTAAAATTTACATTCACCTAATTGTGTAAATCTTAAAAGTATACCATCCAACAAGTTTTGACAAATGGATAAGGCTGTGTAACCCAAACTTAGGACATGAGGGCCGGGGATTTAGCTCAGTGGCGCAGTTCCTCCAAGTTCGATCCCTGGTGCTGCAAAACAAACAAGAAAAGATGCAGAACATGAATATTACTCTAGAAAGTTCCCTTATGCTCCTCCAATCAATTCCTGCTCCCACACCCTAAAGGACAGTTTTTAAATGATGATCAAAGAATACGTATTATCTTGTTCCTGGTTAATTTTGCTCTACATATTTGTGAGAATTACTCACAAGGTTGTATATATCAAAAATCAATTGTGGGGCTGGGGATTTAGCTCAGTAGCACTGTGCCTGCCTCACAAGCACAAGGTTGTGAGTTCCATCCCCAGTACAAAAAAAAAAATCAAGTGCTTTTTGTTGCTGAGTAGTATTCATTGTATGAAAATGTTCTAGCACATTTATCCATTCTTCAGTTGATGGACCGCTGGGATGTTTCCAGTTTGGGGCTCTTATGAATAAAGCTTCTATGGATATTCTCCTGAAAATCAGTGGATATATGATTTCATTTCTTTTGAGTAAATGTCTTAGAGTGGCATTGCTAGGGTGGTTGTAGATTTACAATATAAGAAAATGCTAGACCTTTCCCCCAAAGGGTCACAGGAACAGTTTTTTTAACATCTTACCTAAGTGTAACCACAAACAATTAAATTTTCCTGTGGGCACTGAGCCTATAGAACTTCACTCAAATACAGTATTTCACCTTATACTTATAGCCAGCCTATGGACAGGCATTATTTCTATTTACATGTGATGCTTTTTGTCATTTAGATGAGGCATGTATGGTTTTCAGGGAAGTAGACAAGCGCATCTAACAAGATCCCTCTTAGTTTGTTGAAAAGAAAGTTTTGTATTATTGTCTGTTTCTTTTTTGTAATAATCTTTTTGGTTTATGTTTTGTGCTCTGAGTAACTACTTTGATAATGATGCATAATGTAATAACTATTGTTATTTTCTTGTTTGATTATGACATTTTATTTATTAAAATTATTTATTATTTTAAATTAATTATTAAAATTATTTATTTTATTAAAAAGATCCCTTTGTCTTCTGGGACATTCTTCAACTTGATCTTCAAAGACACCCTTCCTGTCCAGCCCATACCATCTATCTAGCTTCCCTGAAGAGTAAGTGAATAGTTAAATTTCAATGTCTCTTCCTTGGGCTGCCTAACAACTGCCTGATACCTGTTCTCTATAATTAAGAGAGGAGCCTGAGCAGAGGCATTACCAGAGAGGTGGGTGTAAACTGCCCTGAGGTGAGGAGGTACAACAGTGTTCCTCCCACTGTTTTTCTGAACTCCTGGAGCCCAGCCTCAGAGCCAGATCTGCTTGGGAATATATGCAGGAAACCCAAGGTACAAGGAGCACCAAAGGGAACGCATTTATTCTCTCAGGCCTATAACTGCCAGCCAGGATTCTGCCTTCTTAACTTCCTCTCTTATCTTTAGCAAGCTTTCTAAAGCAGAGAGTTTTGAACAAGGATGATTCTGACTGGAGTCATTAGTTAGGTGAGTCTGAGAGTCCCTGAGTCTTCTGAAACTGGTAGTAAATCTGCCTTTTTCCTTCTGGGTCCTTGGCCAGGGGCTCAAGAGAAATTCAGGAGAGGAAGTGGTAGTTGATGTCTGAAGGCGCCAGTCTTCTTCCTCCTCTTCCTTCATTTTTCTCTTTAATGATTCTGGGATATACAAAAGTAATTCCACTCTCAGGAGATCCTTCTTGAAGTCTCTCTCCCCGCCATGTTTACTGGCTCGTTACAAAGGATATTACAAGGGGTTCAGGTGAAGCAGAGACGCATAGGGAAGGCACGTGGGAAGCCCCCCACCCCATGAACCATCAGATCATGTATTAGGCACCCCCAGCTGGGGTATTTGTCAGGACCAAGTCCTCATTCCCCAGATGCTCATGTGTGTCCAGACTCTCACCAGCTTGCTGCTTTCTCCCTGTGCTCTGGGGTTGTGGGGTTGTCATGTGCTCATCCATCTGACCCAGCAGGAAGGACTCTGTTTCTCCCCTGTCTTTCCAGAATTCCTATTTAGCTCTTAAGGATCGATTTCAAAAGTCACAAACATTGCAAATACTTGTTTACAGAGTGACAGCACGTGGCCACAGCAGGGAAGCGAGGTGCCTGTGTGAGCCGCCCCAGACTTGGGCACTTTGGCAGAGTTCTAGCAGAGCTGCCTGCTGCTGCAGAAGCTCCTCCGGGAGGCAGACTTTGGACATAGAGTTTGCTGGGCTTCGTTCTAACCTGTCCGGGCTCCAGCCGATCAGTCTTTTTGATTTGCCACCTGACTGGTATCTAAAGACCCGACAGAGTATGCAGCAATTTACAATCTGTCAGATTGGATTGCCTGTATTCTCCAGTATTGAAGGAGAGTCAAACATGTATATAGCCCATTCATGTGACTTTTTTCTCTTCCCTACAATGTTTGAGATTTTGGGGCCAGGGATTTAGCTCAGTGGTTCTGCCGCCTGCCTTGCAAATGCAAGGACCCGAGTTCAATCCCAGGTACCCCCCCAAAAAAAGAGATTTTGGACACAGAATTCTCTTTCCAGGTATCTGGTGTTCAGTTTTTGAATTAATATGGCTTCAAGTATAACAACTTTCTCAAAAAAGGAATTCCATATATGAATGAAGAACAGGAGAAGAAAATTAAGCATAGTATCCTGACAGGGAACTGGAAATTTCAAAGCTCTATGGATAAAGATCAAATCAAGGGGGGTGATTGATGAGGTGATGCGGTGGCTGGACCTGGCCAAGGAAGGTGACCAGATGACTCTGCCTGGTATGCAGCTGGTGCTGAGGCAGGCTCTGCGCAACATCTGGACAGTGCTAAGAGATGGCGGGGTGATAGGCAAGAAGGTAAGCCAGCAGCATCGCTGGTACCTTGGGCACACATCTAGTGATCGAGACAGCTGTTGGAAGGAGCAGCAGGTTCTGCTCTCTGCGAGGGGTTTATCTGTCTTTTTCCAGATGCTGGTGCAAGCCCAGAAGCCCTTAGGGATATGACACGATGATGAATCTGCTGCGTCTCCAGGAGAAGTTCTTCAGACCCCTCCCTGAAAGCTATGATCAGTTTAAGCAGAATATCCACAACCTATTTCCTGTTCTTACTGACACCAAGAATGTTACAAAGGTATCTGGGAGGAGCTGCATTTCCCGCGGTTTCCAACCTCTTGGAAGTATACGAAGTGCTGAGCAGTAACTTGAATCCCACCAAGGATTCTGTACCAGTGATTGTTCATGGAAACAAATGCGAAAAATATGCCAAGATGAAGTGCCCCCACGGAGCAGGATATGATGTCTTCCTGTGCAGGCCACTTCTTTTGAAAGTGGCACACCTAGCCAGGCATGGTGGTACATGCCTGTAATCCCAGCACGTGGGAGGCTGTGGCAGGAGGATCCCTGTGAGTTTGAGACCCGCCTGGGCTACATAGTGAGTTCCAGGTCAGTCTCAACCACATAGTGAGACCCTGTCTCAAGCCCCAACCCCCCAAATTAACTTCTTGGGTCTGGATTATCCCAGGGTCTGGCCTCCCATCTTCATCCTCACTGTCAGGCGGAGGCTTGGGGTCAGTGAGCAGCAAGTCTATGGCGAGTTCCAGAACCTCAGCAAGTCTGACATCAGATGGCTCACTTGAAGCCAGCTCCTGACCAGTAAGTTTAAGGGTGTCCACCGTGCCCTGAAGGAGTACAGGTGCCACCTAAGCCTGTAGGTTTCCCTGTACTGTTACTAGAGACACGTCTGCCCCCGCCCCCCATCAACGGTGTATTACAAGTCTGCAGTGAAGTTGCTGCCTGGGCCTTGCTTGGATTTCTTCTGGGACTATCCAGCCCCTGAGTGCAGCCAGCCTCTGGAAGCCTCTGTCCATCTGTTTGTCCCCAGTCCTTCCTGGGATGGCCTTCCTGGATTTTGTTTCTGTAAATCATATATGGTTTGCATGTGGATCTGCGTGGTCTTAACTATCAATTTTGTTGTTTTGAAAGTAAAATTATATATATGCCACAAATGATGACGAAATCCTTGCATAGAAAAAAATGTTTACATACACACTATTTCTTCCCATCTTCTTCATCATCTTCTTCTTCTTCTTTTTTTTTTTTTTTTTTTTTTTTTTTTTTTTGGTTTTTTGAGACAGGGTCTCACTATGTAGTTGAGACTGACCTGTATGGTCTTCAACTCACAGCGATCCTCTTGCCTCAGCCTCCAGAGTGCTGGGATTACAAGCGTGTGCCACCATGCCCAGCTCCATCTTCTTTTGACTGTTATTTCCTCCCAGGCAGAAATACCTTATTCTACTTTGTGTGTCTATCCCAGTTTATAGACAGCATTCAGTAAGATTTTTTTCTTAGGATATATAGATAGTAGCAACTTTTGAGTCAATAAATGCTGCATTTGAACCACACTAAAAGGTAAATTATTTATTTCCTTGCTTCACAGAGTGCAGATTTAATCTTGTGGTAAAACAAAACAAAAACCAAACAAAAAAGAAAAGAGAAAATTCCACGAAAAGAGAGAAATTACAGAAATGAAAAAAAAAGTATTTTTTTTTTAATTTAGGAAGGATGTTGCAGGCCAGCAATCCTTTGTCTTCTGAGCCCCCAATGAGTTTCATACTGCCTGAGGCCTACATGGCCACTGGAAATACTTTTGGGAAACGTAGTATTTGGACAGATGAAGTACTTTCAAAACTATGGGTATGTCACAAATTTTAATGCCAATCATAAATTTTCTCTGGAAATGTTTAAGGCAAAAGTGATAGTTGGGCGTGGTGGGGCATGCCCGTATTACCAACATTTGGAAGGCTAAGGGAGGAGGATCACCATAAATTCATGGCCAGCCTTGGCTACATAGTGAGTTCAAGACCAGCCTGAATTCCACACGGAGCCCTTGTCTCAGAAAAAAAGTAAAATAAATTTGGCCGGGGATTTAGCTCAGTGGTTCCACCACCTGTCTGGCAAGTGCAAGGACTGCAGTTTGATCCCCTCCTCCCCCACAAAAAGTTATGTTGGAAAACTTCCCTATTCCCTTCTCTCCCCTCTCTTCTCTTTCCCTTGTAGTGTTGGATTGAATTCCTGACCCACACACCCAGCCCTACTTTTCCTCTTTTTAATCTCTGATTAAACCCCTCCTTCTTTTCCTCTCATTTGCATAGATGTCAATTACTACTTAGGCTGTTTGTAGATAGCTCTGATTTTTTTTTTTTTTTTTTTGTAGTGCTGGGGATTGAACCAGGGCTTTGAGTACACTAGACAATTACTCTACCATTTTTTTGCCTCTCCAGTTGATGCCTCTTAGTTTTGCTCAACTCTTTTTCCCCCCTTTGGTACCAGGGATGGAATTCAGGACCTTGCGCTTTCCAGGCAGGCACGACACCACTGAGCTAAATGCCCTGCCCCATGCCTCTCAGTTTTGATCAAAGTCCTGCTGCCTGGCATCTGAGGAACTCCGAGGTACAATTGCCCTTTTTTATTTAGCATTTTCTCTTAACCACTTCAGCCCTTGGCCTCCTTCCTTGCCCAGGGAGGGGAACAGGTGACTTGGAGCTTCTCTAGCTAATTGGAAGGAACCCGGCGTTGCTGAGCACACAGCCAGGAACTTGACCTCTGCGAGGAATGGGATATGGGTAGCTATGTCTCTCCTAGCAGGGCTGACAGCCAACTCTTAGCTACTGGGAGGGATTCTTCTCCCACAACAGGCAGTCTGTTCAGCTTTTCCTGCCCTGATTCCTCTCCTGCTGCGGGTTACTGTGTCCCTGAGCTCTTTGGTAACTCTACCTCTCACCAGATTTTACAATTTGCTGTAGATTTCAAAACCCTAGGCTCCACTCTCCTTCCTCTCAGGTTGCATTTTCTTGCAAAGTTGAAAGCCAACCAAAAAGATCAAGTTTCCTTTAATCCTTCTTTCAGGCTCTTGGAGCTGACCTCTTTAACCTGCATACCAGAAAGGCTGTATCTTACTGATCACCATGTTGAAGTTTCCCCAACATCCCAGCATACTGAGTTTAGGTTGCTCAGAATGACCTAGAAGCTGACAAAGAAGCCAGGCACTGTTTTTTTTTTTCCTTTTCTTTCAGAAACACCTGCACAGTAACATGTTCTTGCCAGCACACAGCTGATGTCCATTGGGGGCAGCCACTGAGCTTCTCTGTTCTAACAGAATGGAGTTTTGTTGTGTCTATTTTTTGTTTTTTTTTCCCCCTAGGCTCACATCATCTTTCTGCTGGACTTCTTTTTAAATTTTTTTTCTATAATTTGCCTCTCTTTTGCTGAGGTATTCCCTTTTCTTTTTTGTTTTGTTTTTGCCATACTGGGGATACAGGGCCTTTACACTGAGGTACATGCCCAACCCCATTTATTTATTTATTTATTGAGATAGGGTCTTATTGTGTCATTCAGGCTGGCCTTGAACTCCTAGCGATTGTCCTGGTTCAGCCTCCCAAATGCTGGGATTATAGGTGTGTGCCACTATGCCCTGGTTTATTTTTTAATTAATTAATTATTACTGTACTGGGGATGGGACTCAGGACCTTGCCCTTGCCAGGCAGGCACGGTGCCACTGAGCTACATCCCCGGCCTCTTATTTTTAAATTTTGAGACAGGGTCTTGCTAAATTGCTCAGGCTGGGCTCAAATTGTGATCCTCCTGCCTCAGTAATCCAAAGTGCTTGGATTACAGACATGTACCACCAAACCTGACTACTCTTTTTGTGATGTTTTCCTTTCCTTTCTTCTTCTATTTTTGCTGTGTTGGGTGGAATGCAAATCCTTGAGCTTTTGAGGCAAGCGATTTACTATTGAACCACACACCCAGTCTAATGTTTTTTACTCAGTCTACTCCTTGCTCCCTCTCTTCTCTATTCTAGGGTTCAGCTAGGAGACTGAATCACTGAGAGTTCATAGACTGCTAATCTGGGGATCAGGGCAATGGCATTCTGCGCAGGCTCCTGTCCGGATCCAGTCTATTTTCTAAGCCTTTATTCCCCTCCCAGTGCATCTCACTACTGCTTCATTAATCTGTGCCTCTTCCCAGACAGGGAAGCCCCTTTTTCGTACTTAAATTTCTCAACTCTGCAGACTTCTCTGACAGATGGCGGACCTAAAGTTGGCAGATGAAATCTGAGACACAGAATAGGTATCAAAACCTTTCTCGAGGGTCCTCATGAGTCAGAAAAGTTCATTCTGCCACCAGTTGGCTGTGAAAGTTTGGGCAAATCATTTACCTCCGCTGGGCTCTCCAGGTTCTCACAGATTCAAAAAGGGCTGTTACGGCGCGGAGGAGATAAAAGTACACACAGGAAAGCACTTCGCAAACTGCACGGAGAGGGTGGGGAGTGAGCGGGGGTGCTGCGCTGATTCTTCTACACGTCCTTCAAAGGGAAAGGATCATCGAACGCGGGGGTTTGGTTTGGCAATTTAGTTCAGATAGGTCTCAGGGAAAGCGACAAGCTAGAAAAGGTGCAGAGAATCCTCCAGGCAACATTTGGCTAAAATCGAGAGTAGCAGCAGGACGACTCCGACCCATGGGTCCTCAGGAATTGGACGCTTAGTTTGGAGCGCTGCCGGGAACCGGCTCGAGGCTACTGTGGCCCCGGGGCGGTGTCAGCCCGAAGACTGTTTTAAAAGGGGGTGTGTGGGTCAAACCCAAAGCAGCCTGGGACTTTTCGGGCTGGCACCACCTCCTCGAGCCGTTCCCGAGGGCATCCAGAGGCCAGGTCTCTGTCGGACAACTGAAAAGTAAAGAGAGGACTGGGGCGTTAGGGACCTTTGTGCAGAAGTGCGCCGGAGTGCAGGGCGGGAGGGAGGAGGGGAGAGGGCGTTGGGAGCCGGAGGAGAGGAAGCCCCACCTTTCATTCCTGCGCTGAGCCCGGCCCGCGGGGCGGGATGAGTCACGGCTGCCTCACCTGCCTCTTTCGGGCGCTGCGGCTCCCATAGGTGAGCGCGCAGCCTCTGCTCTCCGGTAAACATCGCGCCGCGCCTCGCGCTGGCCTTGGCAGGGTGCTGGAGCCCTGCGTTTGCCCGGTCTGGTCTGCGGGGCCAGGGCTGGGTTTCCCTCATGTATGGCCAGAGTCCTCCGCGCGCGGTGCTGCTGCTCCTTGGCTTACTGCTCACAGGTAAGAGCTGGAAGGCTGCTCCTTCGTCGCCTATTCTAACTGAGAGTCGCTAGCGTTTTGTGGGGGATCCCCAGACACAGCTGCAGTTTACTTCAGTTTGGACCTTATTGAAACTGCAGTTACTGGGTTGTTTTGGGAAACTGCTGTGGACAAACAGGTTTAGGAGTGTTGTGTTCGGCTGTGATTGGGGCACAGAGAAGTCTTTCTCATCTCAGGTTACACACCGTTTTCGTGCGGCCGCTCTCACCCCCACTGCTCAGCAGGTCTTGGCCCTTGGTTTTCAGTGTGTGGGTCTTGCCTGGGACTCTTCTTCCCAGCACCGGGAAAGCTGGGATTATTAGAGAGAGACCCACTGTGGTTTTGAAATTGTCCCAACGCACAAACATTCCAAATGTAAATATGGTAAAACATGCCACGTGGTACAGAGGTTCCAGAGGTGCAGGCAAGCACACGCTGTCGGAATTGATTAACCCAATTTCTGCAGAAGACTAGTTACAGTACGAAGTGTACATAACAAGGTTCCTTTCTGAAACACCAGCCTGCTAGATCATTCTACATGTACTATGTAATGCTTCATCTTAACATGTACTATCTCATCAATGTTATGATTTGCTTTAATCCTGTTTCTGCTCTCAATTTAATTTGACGATACTTGGATTTGTTATTACATTTTTGAAGCTGGTACTGCAAGGCTGTGGAGAAATGAAGAGACCTAGGAAGATTTCACTGTATCGTATTAGTAGTCACTCACCGTATGAGATCTCGGGGTCAAGAAGTACAGGCTGGAGATTTAACTCAGTGGCATCGTGACTGCCTTGCAAGCATAAGGTTCTGAGTTCAACCCCTGGTATAGAGAGAGAGAGAGAGAGAGAGAGAGAGAGAGAGAGAGAGAGAGAGAGAGGGAGAGAGAGAACACAGAGGGAAGAGTGCACAGACTCTGGGTGAAGGAAGTGTGAGCACTGCGTATTTCAGCTCTACCTTATGCCCTATGCAGCATTGTTTTGAAAGTGTCAGCGGTTCTCTCCACATTACACCCCTGTTAACTGTTCTGCTTCTCTACATTGCAGCTCTTTGGCCCATAGCAGCTGTGGAAATTTACACCTCTGGGGCGCTGGAGGCTGTTAATGGGACAGACGTTAGGCTAAAATGCACTTTTTCCAGCTTTGCCCCCGTGGGCGATGCGCTAACAGTGACTTGGAATTTCCGTCCTCGAGATGGGGGTCCTGAACAGTTTGTAAGTAGATTATTGTCGTTTTCTTGGGAACCCTTGGCTAGGAATATATGAAGCCCATCCATTTCTCCTCCCCTTCGTGTATTTTCCTTAAGCAACAATAAGAGGGTTAAGTTGGGAAATCATTTCTGGGACAGAGACAGATGAAACTGAGAGGCTAGTGAAGGATAAGCAAGATGTACAAAAAAGTTACAAACTGGATAGTTAGGTTTGCTGTCGTTTCTCTTCTGTTCCCACCACCCTGCCTTCTTCCCCTGTACCAATGGGAAAGCCTTTTGCCATTTCTCCCCTGTAGGTGTTCTACTACCATGTGGATCCCTTCAAACCCATGAGTGGGCGGTTCAAAGACCGGGTGGTCTGGGATGGGAATCTTGACCGGTGCGACGTCTCCATTATCCTGTGGAAGCTGCAGTTCGATGACAATGGGACATACACCTGTCAGGTGAAAAACCCACCTGATGTGGATGGGCTGATAGGGGCGATCCGGCTCAGCGTTGTGCAAACTGGTAGGTCATGCAGGGCGGAAAATGGGTTTGGGAAGTGTGAGAGCTGGTAGAAAAGAGAGGGGTGAGCTCTTGTGATGATTCAAAGGGTAGAGAAAGAGCCTAGTGCTTTGGAGCTGAGAACTTCAGAGTGAGACAGAAGAGTCCTTGGGTAAAAGGAGAAAGGCTTTGTCTAGTTGTGGAAAGAAATACAAAGTAAAGCAAAGGGACCCTGGGAATGTTACAAAAAATGGCTTTGAGATGGTGAAAGGGAGAGGAAGCAACTCTGATCAAAGGCTAACACTGTTCATTTTCTTATTTATTCAAGATACTTATTTAGTACCTGCTCTGTGCCAGTCACTTCCAAATGCTTGTCATATCTGTCTCCACTAATCCTCCCAAAGAGGCAGACAGCAGTCTCAGAAGCTAACATGTACTGAGTACTTACCACATGTCAGGCACTTTACATGACACACTTCATTTTTTAAGTACCTCATCAGTTTATCATGCTCACGGAGGTTAAGTCACTTGCTCACAGTTATGTAGTTGGTAAGTGGAATAACTCTGGACTAAACCTAATTATCTTTGACTCTAAAACTGTGCTCCAAACTAGTGTATTTTACTACCTGCCCCTCTGTAATGGATGACCTGGAAAATGGTCCTATGGAACAAAGAACAAAGACCACAACACTTTCAAGTTGTATATTTGGGTTTAAGTCATCGTTATGACACTATATCTGTGAGGACAGATAAATGTGAAAATTTCCCAAACTCCTAATTATCCTGAAAATTAGAACATCTACCATATATTGAATGCTAGGAGTAGGCAATGTATGGAACAATTTACATGAATTATTTTTTATAAGAACTTAGGAAATGGATTGTTATCTCTCCATGGGGTAAACTGAAGCTCAAAAATGTTAATTACCCAAATCACACAGCTAGTAAATAGTAGAGCTGGCATTTTAACTTAAAGCTGTGTTAACTAACACCATATATATATTTTTTTAACTGGGGATTGAACTTGGGATCTCACCTTTGCAAGGCAGGTGGCAGCACCACTGAACTAAATCCCTGGCCTCTCCAACACAATATTAATACCCCAAATGCACAAGCAATATACAAAGCAGTATGGTTTCCTCTTCATTTTTAATACAGTTTAAAACAATCCCTCCAGACCCTGCCAACAGAGAGCTGAGTGACTTGGAGAAGTCATCCTACTGAAGTAATATAATGCCTTCAGATCTCAGTTTCTTCAATTAGATAAGAAATCAATGGGTTTTAAATATACCAAGGTAGACAGTTGACAGGGGAATCACTCAGGAAGTTGACAAGATGGTAGAAGATGTAGGAACAGAAATCTATCAAGAAGTAGAGGCCACAAATGGAGTTTTGACTGAGCAATTGATAGTTAATCTCCCAGTGTGAGTTGCCTGTTTCTGCCTAATCATGTAGTACATTATCCACCAAAAATTAGGGCCATCATAGTTGAGGTGTGTGTCTCCTGTCTAAAAGAAGTTGGTCGTATTTTTAAAAACAAAAAAGTATTTCCCAAGAATGGTTGTAAATGCTGGGCATGGTGGTAACGCCTGTAATCCCAGCACACTTGGGATGCTGAGGAAGGAGGGTCGCTGTGAGTTCAAGGCCAGCCTGGTCTACATAGTGAGACCCTGTCTCAGGAAAAAAAAAAAAAAAAAAAAAAAAGGTTGTAAACAAATCTACTTTCCAGTTATACCTTTGAATTAAAAAAAACCCACCTTTTATAGTCTCTTAAAAAGAAAGCACTACTCTTTGACATTGTAATTCAAGCTATAGCTCTTTTTCCCACCCAAAAAAATGGAGACATATGCAACAAAACATGAGTTTTGTGGGCTTGTAGGTCAAACCTCCCTTCCTCCATCACTCTTGAGGGACTCTAGGCTGGCAACTCCTGGGCTAGACCTTCTCTAAGGTCCTTTCTGGCTGAGGGCTTATTGAAATTTAAGTCAGAATCAAGATAGAGGGCAGGAGACCCAAGTTTCATGGGCTTTAGTCTGGTTTAGGGGCTTTCCTCTGGGTCCCTCCTTTGCCATTTATTCACTAGATTAGTTACTGATTTACTTGCCTATCTTCTCAGGGGACAAGAGCTCCTTTAAAATAGTGTCATTTTTTTGGTTTTTTTATTACTACCACAGTGCCTGGGCGTCAGAATAAATGACCGAATGAGTGACAGAGGTGAGATGTAGTCAGGAGAAATGAGCTGGGCATTGGGTTCCATTAGGTGAGCATAATGTCACCACACTGGGAAGTTCACCTGAGTCAGCGGTTCTCAAAACTTTAGTAGGCATCCACTCACCTGCAGGACAGGTTAAAACACAGATGGCTGGGGCACCACCCTACTGTTTCTAATTCAGTACTTCATTTCAAAGTTCTCAAGTGCTACTGTGCTGCTACTCCTGTTAGAATCACTAACGTAGTCTGTGTGGCTTTCCTTCTGCTACTGGGGTTTACAAGGTAATATGGCATTTTACACAGAGAAGTAAGAGAAGGGAAGATTCTATTTACTAACAAAATGTATGCCTCTTATGTTTCTAGGTTTCACTATATTTGTCTTTTTACAATCCTAATTTGATCACTTGATCTTTTTTTCCTTACAGTACAGTTCTCTGAGATCTACTTCCTGGCTCTGGCCATTGGCTCTGCCTGTGGGTTGATGGTCATCATTGTAATTGTGGTTGTCCTTGTCCAGCATTTCCGGAAAAAGCGATGGGCTGACAGAGCTCACAGAGTGGTGGAGATAAAACCGTAAGGCTGGGCAGTTATGGGCAAGGCTCTTCCTAATACTTTCTTATGGTGACTCTTGGTATTTTGCAATGGGACTAAATAATTGTTGAACACATGTTCTTCCCTTTGAGTAAATCCTTTGTAAAAGAATTGTGATTCACTGGGTAAATAAATGAATTAGGGTGTGAAAATTAACTTTACAAAAGGTTTCTCAGTTTTACAAAAGAATTCATTATAGGATTTCTTAACTATGTGGGATTTGATGTTATAAAAATCTGCTATGTAAAGCTTTTCTAAGATATCCCTGATTATTATTTTTTTAAGAACCACGGCATGTATGGCAAGTACTCTACCACTGAGCTACATCTCCAGCCTTTTTTTTTTTTTTAAATTTCATTTTATTTTGAGATAGGGTCTCACTAAGTTGCCCAGCCTGTCCTTGATCTTGTGATTCTCCTACTCAGCCTCCCAAGTAGAGATTACAGGCAGGTGCTACCTTGCCTAGCTAAAATATCCCTTACTTTTACAGCCCGCCCTTTTTTTTCCTTTTGGTAGGGTGATTGACCCAGGTCCTTGCACATGCTAGGTAAGCAGTCTAATACTGAGCTACACCTTTGCAAATACCCTCCACCTCATTACTAGGGATTGATTCCAGGGCCTTTGCACTGAGCTACCTCCCCATCTCAAGGCCATTTAATCTTTAAATTCTGAGACAGTGTCTTGCTATGTAGCCCAGGATAGCCTCAACTTGTGGCAATCCTTCCAGCTCAGTCTCCTAAGTGCTAGGATTATAGGTGTATGCCACCATGCCCATCTAGGGCTAGACTTTGTGATTCTCTTCGCCTCAGCTCCCCAGAGTGCTGGGACTACAGGTGTGTGCTACCACACCCAGGTGAAATACATTTTTAAGAACAGCTGGGCTACACAGTCAGCAGGGTCTCTGAACCAATGCTTTAGTCTGTTGTGCTGATCCTAGGCACTCAATAAATGCATCTTTAAATTGAGATAAAATTTATATATCATAAAACTCACCCTTTTACTATTCACAATGTTTCCAAAAGTATTTTAGCACCCTCCTCCTTTAGTCATTACTCCCTTCTTCCCTTCCATTAGTCTTGCCACCTCCCCATCAACTTTCTGTCTATGAGAGTTTGCTTATGCTGGACATTTCCTATAAATGGAATTAATAAAATGTGACTTTTATAGCCAGCTTCTTTCATTAGTATAATGTCAGAGTTCAGTGTTGTAGTATATTAGTACCACACTCCTTTTTTATGTTTGTATAACATTCCACTATGGGTTTACTGTATGCTGTTTATGTTTTTTTTTGGGTCCTTGCGCTTGCAAGGCACGCCACCGAACCACTGAGCTAAATCCGCGGCCCGGGCATTTATGTTTTTTTAATACTTTTTGGCCATCCTGACTAGTGTGGCTATGAACATTCATCTACAAGTTTCTGCACAGACATGTTTATTTATTATTATTAATTTTTTTGTTACTGGGGATTGAATTCGACCTTGTGCTTGAGAAGCAGGTGGCAGAACCACTGAGCTAAATACCTGGCCCATATGTTTTTAATTCTCCTAGGAGTTAGTGGAGTTGCTGAGTTATATGGTAGCTCTGTTTAATTTTTGGAGGAGATGGCAGTCTGTTTCCCTAAACAGCTTCATTTTACATTTCTAACAGCAATACATGAAGGATCTTTTTCTACATCCTCACCAACACTTGTTATTGTCTTTTTGGTTATGGCCATCTAGTGGACATAAAGAGGTATTTCACCATATTTGGATTTGTATCTTTCTATTTAATGGCCATTTGTATATTTACCTGGAGATCTGTTCAGATAGTCTGGCCACCTTAAAATTGGGTTGGTTGTCTTTTTATTGTTTAGTCCTAAGAGTTCTTTATGTTTTGGATGCTAGTCCTTATCAGATACATGACTTGCAATTATTTTCTCCCATTTGTGGGTTTTCACTTTTTTGATAATATCCTTTAAGGCACAAAGGCTTTAAATTTTGATGAAGTCCAATTTATCTATTTTACTGCTAATGCCTTTGAATTATATCTAAGAAACAACTGCTTAATTCAACATCATGAAGATTTATACCTATATCTTTCCTAAGAGTTTTAAAGTTTTAGTTCTTTGATCCATTCTGAGTTAATGTGTATATTTGGTTGAGGCAGGATTTTTTTTTTTTTTTTTTTTTTTTTTTTTTTTTTTTTTTTTTTTTGGTACCAGGGATCAAACTTAGGACCCTGATCTTGCAAGGCAGGCAGTGGTACCACTGAGCTAAATCCCTGGCCTGATGCAGGAATTTTGGTTCACTCTTTTGCATGTGGATGTATAGTTGTTCCAACACTATCTTTTTCCCTCAGTAAACTTACTGAAATGAATATAATTGATTTTTTATAATTTTCAAAGAGCTTAAGAAACCCATCTCTGGTTTGAATAGAAATATAATTGATAAAGATAACTTCTAGGCCAACATAAAACTTATTTTTTGAACAGGAGTAGAAATCAGAGTTAGGATACTAGTGATAACGTGAGGTGCGTGTGAAACTTCTGGAGTTCCCAAACTGTAGCCCAAGTTGTAGTCCCTCAGTTCAGATACCCAGGGTCCTGTAGAGGTGTAAATATTATCAGGTGGCAGTAATGGATTAGCTCTCTGTAAGCCTGGGTCGACTCCCAGGTAAAAGTAATTCTTCCTAAAACTTGGGGAAGATACTTTACCAACGTTTCACTAGGTGGATTTGCCTTCTTAGCTTCTGGTCTTGTTCACCTGACATTTGGTTTCTGTTTCTTTGTTACAGTCACGAAGAGGAAAGGCTCAGCCAAGAAAAAAAGGTCTCTGTTTCTTTAGAAGACACAGACTAATATCCCTAGATGGTAAGGTTCACAAACAGGGTTGATCTCTCTTCAACTTTCTGATCTGCCTGACCAAAGTGGGTCTCCCTGATTATTTTATGTGTCATTACGTATTTCCTATAAGCAATTATAGACTTGGGGTCAGGGAGATGTCTTCTGTTGGTCCCCAAGATGATGCTTCTTTGAGTGCATTTTGTGCTAGACTCAATTACTAAAACTGAGAGAAATCTATTTATTTATTATTGATTGATTGATGGATGGTACTGAGGATCTCACCCAGGACTTTGTGCACGCTAGGCAAGTGCTCTCATGCTGAACTATATCCCCAGCCCAGTAAGACTTTTTCTTTAATGAAAAATTATGATTAAAAAAATGGTAAACTAGTAAAAACATTAAGAGAGTGATACAATAGATAAGCCTGACATTTGTTAGATCTCTTTATTTTTGTTTTTTTGAGACAGGGTCTTACTATGTAGACCAGGTTGGCCTCAAATTTGCGGTGATCCTCCTGCCTCAGCCTCCTGTGTGCTGGGGTTACAGGCTTGTGCCACAACACCCAGCTATCAGATCTTTTATACTATTTGGAATTGATTTCAAGTCCTCTCACTTAGTTATTGGGCTATGAATTTAGTTTTAGTAGTGTGTAATTTTGTTTGTTCAGTTTTCAGGTTGTCAGGCTTAAAAGATAGGATGATTTTTCCTATGCTAGGAATTCTTCTATTTCCTGAAGTTGGTCCACACAGTTAATTTCTACAGGTTGTAAATCAAGACATACAAGCTGAATTTTATACTCCTAGCATAATGTTCTTGACATTAATAATTTTATCTTGTAAAACTGTTTGGTTCTCTTAAATGACAGGACATTTTTATAGACTATTGTGAAGTCACATTTTTATAGGCTGACACTCCAGTGCCATCTCAAGTATGATAAAACAGAACACAAAGAAAAGTGACTGTATTGTAAAAACAGAAAACTAAATTTGTATGAGGGGATTCTTCCCAAAGGTTTTTGCCTTTAAAAAAATCAAGCAAATTCTCTAATGAGTTAGGGTTATGAAAAATAAGGATGTGGACTAGTTTAGAGTAAAAGAAATTTAACAGACTGACACAGCTGAGTGTAATGTGTGATCCCTGACTGGATGAATCCAAGTTTGAATAAGCTAGATGTTAAAAACAAACAAACAAACAAAACAAACAAACAAACAAACAAACATGAGAAGTCAAAAAAAGTGAAGTCTTATGACAACATTGATTATGAACAATATTAGGTGATTACTGTTAAGTTTCTATTAGGTATAATGTTATTGTGGTTATGCAGGGAAATGTCCCTATTTTGTTTGTTTTTGAGATAGGGTCTCACTATGTAGTCGAGACTGACCTGGAACTCACTATGTGGCCTAGGCTGGTCTCGAACTCACAGCGATCCTCCTGCCTCAGCCTCCTGAGTGCTAGAATTACAGGCGTGTACCACCATGCCCAGCATCCCTGTTTTTAAAAATGCATACTAGAGCCAGGCATGGTGGTGCAGGCTTACAGTTCTGATATTCTGGGAGACTGAGGCAGAAAGATTTCAAATTTGAGCCCAGCCAGGTCAACTTATAAGAACTTATCTTGCTGGGTGCTGTGGTGCACACCTGTAATCCCAGCACTCAGGAGGCTGAGGCAGGAGGATTGCTGTGAGTTGGATACCAGCCTGGGCTACACAGTGAGTTCCAGGTCAGTCTCAACTACATAGTGAGACCCTGTCTCAAAAAAACAAAACAAAACAAAATGAAAGAACCTATCTCAAGATTAAAAAGGGACTGGTGTGTGGGGGTGCAGCGGGGATTTAGCTCAGGGGTGCTGCCACATGCCTTGCAAGCACAAAGTCCACAGTTTGATCCTTGGTTACCCCCCCATCAAAAAAAGGCAGACTGGGGAGTACCTCAGTGTGAAAGCTTTGGGTTCAATTCCTGGTACTCCTCACCCCCAAAACATACTAGAGTATGTAAGGGTGTCAGTAATTTGTTTTAAAAAAGCCCAGTTCCCCCATAATAATACAAACAATACTTTAAAATTAGGTGATGGATGAATCCCTATCTGCACTTTTCTACATGTCTGATTTTGTTTATAAGGACGGGGTGGGAGAAGGGAAAGAGTATGACTGTGGGATGGGGATGTAGGTCAGTGGCACCACGCCTGACTGGCGAGTGCAAGGTCCTGAGTTCGATCCCTGGTATTACACACACAAAAAAGAAGGTATGAATGTGAGCACACTGTGGATCATCCTGGCATTCATGCACAGCACTTAGGAGCTATTCATAAAGGACACTCACTCTGAGAACCCTGTAATAAGGTTCAGGAACCTTTTATTTATTTAGGTATCAGGGGTCGAACTTGGGACCTTGTGCTTCCGAGTCAGGCAGTGGCACCATTAGCTAAATCCCCAGCCCAGGAGCCTTTTAAAAAATTATTTTTAAAATTAAGTTCAGGAGAGAATAAAACTATTTTCCTTCAGTAATGGAGAGTAGACAATCATGTATGTGATTCACAATGTAAGGTACTCTAATGTATTTTCCCCAAATATATTATCAACTTAAAATTTTTGTTTTGCATTTTAGGAAGCTGAAAATTTCCAAGATTTCTTGAAGTTTATGGATACTTCTCTTTGGTGTTTCCGTTGTGACCTGTCTTCTGACAAGTTCTGCAGAACGTACCCACTGAGATAAACCACATCTGTCTGTAGGCAGCATAGAGCTCTTGGGCAGATGCCAGCAGACTCACACACAGTCTTATTATTAAGGTTTTATTTAATTTCAGAGTACAAATATTTTTCAAATCCACATTAGCTTTTATGAACTAAGAAGCTACATTTTTGCCCTCACACACCAAAATGGAGTATGACTTGTGTACATGTATAGTGCAACAAAAGGGATAAAGGCCATTTTGTCTGTTATATTTCCTTTCACACATTAGTTTCTTGAGAGTATCACTCTTGCTGCTAAAGTTAATGTTTACTTCTTTCTTTGTCACATTTCCATTAAAGGGTGAGCGAAGCCTCCCAGCCATTTTTTTTCCTTTGGTACCAGGGATGGAACTCTGGACCCTGCACTTGTGAGGCAGGTGGCAGAACCACTGGGCTAAATCAAATCCCTGGCCCCCAGCCATTTTTTAATTGACATGATTCCAAGAACAAACTGTTAAGTGTGATTTTTTTTTTAATTGTTCTCCTTAAGTATGGGACACACCTTATTTTATTGATGTTCTTTCAGTGCCAAGGTGATAGGAATTTTTGTTTTTGTCAGTTAATCCAAGATTTTAAATAGCACAAGACCAAATCATGCAATAACTCCAAAAGGTTTTGTAAATATTACTGTATCGGCAAATGCCACCTCAGGATGTATCACTTGTCATCTTTTTTCTTTGTTGGTAAAAATAATTAACCATGTAGGTCTTTCATGAGCTGCTACTGTTTAGCTTTCTGCCCTGCCCTTCTATTCAATTATCTTTAACAACAGAGCAAAATGTATGCTCATTTGCAGACTGGAATCAGTAAGCAGTTTAGTAGAAGGATTCCGTCATAGTATTCAACAACTTTAAAAATTTAGGGCTGGTGAAAAAGACCAACTCTAAGTGATGACAATTTTGTACAGTATTATTACACAAAGTTCAGAACTGGAAAAGATTATTTAATTTTTTTGTTTGTTTTTTGATTGTAATTCACTTGCTTAAGGGACAGAGAATTTGGTACAGAGCAAAGAAATACCAAAACTACTTCAACTGACTGAAATTATTCTTTTTCCCCTTATATTGGTAGAAACACTTCATAAATGAGCTATGGAAAGAAGAGAGCTTTTACAAAATTGTCTAGTTACCCATATCTTTCCAAACTTATGCATTTGTTCAAAGATTTTTTTTTTTTGGGGGGGTACTGGGGATGGAACTCAGGTCCTTGTGCTTGCAAGGCAGGCAGCGGAACCTCTGAGCTAAATCCCCAGCCTTTTTTGTTTTTTTTTTTTTTTGGTACCGGGGATTGAACTTGGGTCCTTGCGCTTGCAAGGCAGGCCACCGAACCACTGAGCTAAATCCCCGGCCCCCCAGCCTTTTTTTTTTTCAAGGTTTTTTTTTTCTTCCAAACTTAGGCATTTGTTGAAAGGATAAAAACATCTACAAGTTTAGGTCAAAATTAAATCTTTGTAGCCTGATATTTTCAGTTTTCACTGATTAAGCTGCTGACACTATATTTTTAAAAAGCAAATTGGAATTTTCACATAGATTATTTAAAGACACTGGATCTTGATATTATCAATATTTCTTTAAAATTGGTATAATTTGCAAATGAACCTTGGTTCTGAAATTCATTCTATACCTATCTCATTTTGCCTTTTACACTGCCTCTAAAGGTAAACTCTCAATACTCAAGTTTTGAAACTAAAAATTAAGATTTGAAATCTATATTGACTTTAAGTCACATTTTACATTTTTCTTTGTAATTTAACCCTTGAAAATACAACTAGATATTTCCTCAGATGTCTTGATGATGCTCCATAAGTGCAATGAAGTAGTTTAAAACTAAGTTTTTCCAGCAACCTTATAGCTTATGTCTTGGCTAAATACTTAAGGGGTAATATGGCCTTGTTTAGTATCTCCTTCCTGAAGAGCATTTTTGTATTGTAATTTATTTTTTATTATACCTTAAATACTATGTAAATAAGTCTTTAGTAATAAAGAATTATAAATTATATAGTTTTCTTATATGCACATGTGAAAATTTTACATAGCAGGTAAACAGAAAAGTTGCATGAGGTATGATCTAAAAATAATACAGTGAATGTTTAAATTAAAAAAGTTATTACAATGAAAGATACATTGCAACTAAGACTTCAAAATTCACTCCCTTGCCAGGCGTGGTGGCGTACGCCTGTAATCCCAGCACTCAGGGAGGCTGAGGCAGGAGGATCGCTGTGAGTTCAAGACCAGCCTGGGCTACATAGTGAATTCCAGGTCAGTCTCAACTACATAGTGAGACCCTGTCTCAAAAAACAAACAAACAAAAAACAAAACAAACAAACAAAAATATTCACCCCGTTGCTCCCAACATATTTAGCCCATTGTTCTTGCCACAGAATTCTGGAAATCTTCTTTTGTGAATGTCTTTAGTTGCACTGTCCTGGTTGCCTCAATGTCCTGAATTCAAAGCATTCACCTTTTATGGTCATTTTGACTCTGAAGAAGAGATAGGTGTTATAAGATGCCAGCCAGATCTAGTGAATAAGATGATGACACTGAAATGTTTTTGTGAGCCTGCCTTTGCATTGGATGGCATGTGGGAGCAGTAGTCACTATATTTTTGATCACATGTCATAAAGACACTTGTGAAAGCTGACATCCAGAATTGCTTCAGAAAACAGCTCTGCATGGAAGATCCCTTCCCTTCACTGCACAGCAAGGGAGTGGAGGTCTGGCAGGAATCATGGGATAAGTGTTTGAAGCTAGGGGGTGAATTTTGAGGGGGATTAATGGCAATATTTTTTACTGTAATTTTCCTTAATTTAAATATTCAATAATTTTTTTTGATCAGCTTTTGTATATATTTTATCTTCACTGGAAAGTTTTCATAGTAGAGACAACCTGGAAATCAATGGAATTAGCTGGGTGTGGTAACGCATACCTGTAATCTTAGTACTCTGGCAGGCTGATGCTGTAGGACTGCAAATTCAGGCCTTGCCTGGGCAACTTGGTGACTTATGAGACACTGTCTCAAAATTAAAAATGAAAAAGATTGATGATGTAGATTCCTGTAAAGGCCCTGGGTTCAATCCTCAGTACAAAAAACCAAAATAATTGGGTAAACAAAAACATGGATTTCTATAGAATTTTCACATTGCTTTGGATAGGTGGAAATTGGGCATAACAGTACTTCTTAGTTTGGAGGCTCTTGAAAGAACATCACCTATTCTATTTGGTACTCTTGCATTATTTCTCAAGTCTAATAAGGGGATGGCAGCTCAAAAATGGGAAATTACTAAATTTTCACCAAAGCTGAAGCATATCATTATTCCCCTCTGCTTTCATTAACCATATGGCAATTCCAGAATAGGTTGACTAAGGACTAAAGCACTCCTGTACCATTTTTTTTTCAGAAAAATGTGATACTCTCATTTAACTCCAAGTACTTTGATAAATTTTCCAATCAAAATATATACAGACTCCAGCTACCCTTTGCTTCTTTTTTTTTTTTTTTTTGGTACTGGAGATTGAACTCGGGTCCTAGCGCTTGCAAGGCAGGCCACCGAATCACTGAGCTAAATCTCCGACCCCACCCTTTGCTTCTAATACATGCTGTAATGATTTGATCATTGCTGCTGTCAATAGTAATTTAATAAACACCCAATTCTGGATGCTGAAATAGCCACATAAGGACAGGGACCAAAGAGACTTGAGGCAGATATTGGCCACAAGGGACTACTATGTATTTATTGACTGATAGACCTAGTATACTCTCCTACATCTTTTGGTCTCTAAATTTATGATAATCTATTGTGAGTTCAACTAAGATAATCTCTAGGGGCATAAACATCTAGAATACAGAGAATTAAGATTCTTTAGTCCTGCAGAATTTTTAAAAAATGTCAAATTTCCCAGAGTCTGTATTTACTAGGTTGTAAAGCAAGAAAGCAACTGGGAGTGGTGGTGCACGCCTGTAGTTCCAGCACTCGGGAAGTTAAGGCAGGAGGATCGCCCCAAGTTCGAGGTCAGCCTGGCTACAAAGTTCAAGGCCAACCTGAACTACATCTCGAGACCCTGACTCAAAAAACAAACAAACAAAATTAAAAAAAAAAAAAAAAAGGAAAAGTGGCTAGAGCTTTAGCTCAGGGGTGTCGCAACCTGCCTCGAAAGTGCAAGGTCCTGCGTTCAATCCCTAATCCCTCCTACCAAAAAACAACAACAACAACAACAACAACAAAAAACCCACCCAAAACAAGAAAACTGGTTCTAACCTGAGCATCAAAGAAACGCTGGTCAGTGACACTTGGTAGGTACTGTAAAGAAGCCGTAACCCTATGGTAACACAGGATCGTCATTTTAAATGTTCTTGCTGCCTCCTCCTGACGTCATTTCCGGTGTTACCTGTGTCGTTACTGGGAGCTGTAAACAAGGTGTGCAGATGTCTGAAGAGCTGTCGGGATGCGGCAGAGCGGAGCTGCGGCTAGAGGCCGCGGCTGCGCTCTCTTTCCACTGCTAAGCGTCCTATTCTTTCAGGGTGAGTGCGCCGGCTGGCGGGGCTCCACTTCCGGCTGGGGGGGTTAGGGAAGATGGTCGCTTTTCCGGTTCCGGGTGGGGGTTCTCAGGAAAACCCCTGTTAGGTTTCTGAGAAGGAAGGAAAGGAGGATGTGTCAGATGTTTTCTTCTGATTAACACGACATGCTGCGGAGAGTTAGTATCTTGTCAGACTTTCCTGAGCTGTGGGAGCTCAGCCGGTCACCTTGTGTGACTTGGCACTGTTTTTTGGTGATGACACGACTCTGGGACCACAAAGCTTTGGGGTGCGATCTTGTATGAGATAGTAGTGATTGTTTGCTGAGGTTTTAAGTGCTTTATACCCTGTTTAGGGAAAGGCATTTCTAATGGTCAGTAGTTTGTCCCAGTAAATCTGAGAAACAAAATCATGACAGTTGGTAATTTCATGTTTTTGCAAATGATTAGCAGGGGGTATGAAATAAAGTGTATATTTGTCACAGAAGGGATTTGATTTCATTATAATAGAGACACGAAAAAAAGTTGCCTTAGTATTTTTGAAACATTAAAAAAATATGAGGGCTGGGGATTCAGCTCAGTGGTTCCGGCACCTGCCTCACAAGCACAAGAACCCGAGTTCATCCCCGGTACCAAAAAAAAAAAAAAAAAAAAAAAAAAAAAAAAAAAAAATAAATAAATAAAAGAGAAGCATATTGACTCTCTTGAAATTTTAGTCTTGTAACTAATATCAGAAGTATATTATTGACAAGATAACAATGTATTAAATTTTAGACACGTTTGGCTTCAAAATGAAGCCAGTTAACTTCATTTTAGAGTGCAATTATTTCGATTTTTTATATGACTTTTTTGAAAATTAGATATTAATATAGCTAGCTAGCATTAGAGTGAATTGTTAACTTCACATTTCCCTATAAGTAATGGGGATTTCTAAAAGCAACCTTTAATATTTTATAATGTAAAGATTTCAGGTGCCCTAAATCTCATCAGGTAGGTCTGGGAAGTTTTGATTTATCTGGTGACTAACACACTGCCAGCACACTCCCTGATACCTCCCAGTTGCCCCTGTCATCCAGCTAAATTCTTTTTGCAATATAGTAATTAGGTTACCTTACTGTAATTTCATGTAAACCCCTATTTCCCTCCCCCTCCCCCCCCGGGAAATGTTCAAATATTGTTCCATGTTCCATTAAGAAAAAAGAAATTCTAGAAATGATGATTTTTTTTTGAGAGAGAGAGAGAGAATCTTGCCATGTAGTTCAGGCTGTACTTGAACTCACTGTTAGCCCAGGTGGGCCTCAAACTTGTGCTGGGACTACAGGCATGATGAATGTTTTCTTAAACCAAATGCCATTTCACATTGAAGAGTTCCTTCAAATCCAGTGTACCAAGTGATCCAAACATTAAAATTTATTTTATTTTATTTTTTATTTTTTGGTTTTTTGAGACAGGGTCTCACTATGTAGTTGAGACTGACCTGGAACTCACTATGTAGTCCAGGCTGGCCTCGAACTCACAGCGATTCTCCTGCCTCAGCCTCCCGAGTGCTGGGATTACAGGCATGGGCCACCACACCCAGCAAAATTGATTTTATGATCTGTGTACTTGTTGAATAGATTTATATTTTGCTTTTTAAAAATAAATTTGAAATATAATTCACAAGCTGAACAACTTATCCCTTCTAAAGTGTTCAATTCAGTGGTTTCTAGGATTCACAGTTTCTTTGTTTGTTTTTTTTGGTACCAGGGATGGAACTTGGGACCTTGTGCTTACAAGGCAGGCAGCAGAACACTGAGCTAAATCCCCAGTCCTAGGATTCACAGAATAACATGAATCACAATCAATTTTAGAACATTTTTATCACTAGAGAGAAACCATTCCCACTTTTCCCCAGCCCTTGACAACTACCAGTCTACTTTCTGTCTCTAGAGACTTGCCTGTTCTAAACATTTCATATTAATGGAATCATACAGTATTGCTTTTTTTCTTTCACTTAGCATGTTTTCAGTGTTTCATCTATTTTGAAATCTGTTAGTTGATAGATCCTGGTTTCATACCAGTGTTCATTTGCTTCCTTTCCTCAAAGATAAGGCCCGTTAAATTATTAGCTTGGTTGAATTCTCCTTAAGTCATAAGTCTAGTCTCACTATAACAGTTGTTTAAATATGTAGAAATGATAGACCAGGGAGCCTAGCCATACATTTATCTTTTTTCCATGTGAATGTGCAATTATATGAATCAAGAATTGGTCAATTTGTATTTGGAAAATGGGATATATAGAATTGGAATCTTCATTTTATCATGTTTATTTAATTTCTTCCATGTATAAAATTACTTAAAAATGCAGTTCTTAGCCAGACATGGTGGTGCATGCCTGTAATCCCAGCACTTGGAAGGCTGAGGCAGGAGGATCACTGTGAGTTAGAGACCAGCCTGGGCTACATAGTGAGTTCCAGGTCAGTCTCAACTACATAATGAGACCCTGTCTCAAGCCCCCCTCCAAATGCAGTTCTTGTCTTCAGATTAATTTTTTTTTTTTTTTTGTATTGCGGATTGGACTCAGGACCTTGGGCTTGTGAGGCAGGCACTGGTGCCACTGAGCTAACTCAGTGGTCCTCAGATTAATTATTTGTTAATTTTAATGGATATATTTATAGTTAGCATGTTTACCTGTTCAGAATGCTTTTTGACTTAGGTTAAAAGATAAATATAAGGACATTAGACTAAGATGGGAATTTCTGAAAGACTGTAACATTCGATTAGAAAGGGATTTGATAGGAACTGTCAGAGATGTGGAGGGGATGGGGGTGGATTGTATGTAATAGTGTGGGGAATTGGATGGAGGGAGATTAGAGGGATACTGATTTGTAATTCTAACTCAGATCTCTCTTTTACTGTAAGCCAGGCATCGGCAAAGCTTTTCCATGAAGGGATAGAGAGTAAATGTTTTCAGGTTTGTGGCACATAGTCTCTGTCACAGTTATTCAGTTCTGCAAAAAGTGCAAAAGCAGCCATAGACAATATATAAACAAATGCACATGGCAGTATTCTAATAACACTTTGTTTATACAAAGGTGCTAAAAAAACTTTTTAGTTGTTTACCAGGAACCCACTGGAGGTAATGACTGGTTTAGACATATAGATGACCCACGATGTGGACAGTGCAGTCAGGTAATTATTCTTGGGTCACCCTCTCCTGTGACATCAGTTTGCTTCCATTTGCTCCATGGGCCATAGTTTGCTGACCCCTACCCTAAACCAACAATTCCTTTGATACTATCTGTTGAGCATCTCAATCTCAATGACATCTGAATTCATCCAAAATCAAGCCCATTGTTCTCTTGCCAAGCCTTGGTACATTTCTCCTCTCTCTCTCAGTGATCACCAAGTCAGAGTCCTGGGAGTCATTCCTGACACCACCCTTTCTTGAATATTAAGTTCCCTCATAGTTTTTTGTTTGTTTGTTTGTTTGGTATCAGGGATCGAACTCAGGAACTTGTGCTTGTGAGACAGTTGTGGTACTACTGAGCTAAATCCCCAGCCCCTAACTTCCCTCATGGTAACTGCAGTTGTGTGATTTTTCCCCCTTTCAAGTTACACCAGCCTAATACAGAAGAGGTAATCAAGAGCAGAGCTTTTCCTGAACACGTGCAATGGAAAGATAGACGCAAAGGGAGTTCAGGGTGTTGAAAATACTCTAAAGAAGGTGGTAGGCAGAGATTGGTTGATTAATGAGCACATTTTGTACCTACACTAGAATTTATGGTGACCTATCCACTTATTTCTCTCCAGTTTCTCTGCCTCTGAATCTCTCTGAATTTTTGCCCTGGAGGTGCTTGTATTTAATGGAGGAAATAGTTGTTATAAATTAGGTGCACTCAGTGGCATATGGCTGGGGTAGCATTATGTAGGAGGTGTTATAAGAACGTGGAAGAAAGAACCAATGAACTTCACAAGGGAATTTGGGAAGGTGCCACAAGTGGATCAATATTTGAGCTGGTTTTGGAGGTGCGTGAGTGTTGGGGATGTGGCGTGAGGGAGAGCAGCCTGGACAGTGTCAGAAGAGATGGGACTTATTTCCAGACAAAGCTATGTTCAAAGGAAGGCACAAATGCAGTGACACAGTACGTTTGGGAAATGTCAGAACATTGCAGGCATAACGAAGGGGATTGGACAGGTAAGTGGCAGAGTGGCAGAAGTTTGAGGCCAGATTGTTACTGTTTGGATTTTATATCATAGTCCAGTAGAATGTTTTTTTCTTTTTTTCCCAGTAGGATATTATTAAAAGTTTTTGAAAATGTGTGGTGTTTTTAAAAACAGTAATAGCTGGCTGGGCGTGGTGGCACACACCTGTAATCCCAGTACTCAGGAGGCTGAGGCAGGAGAATTGCTGTGAGTTTGAGACCAGCCTGGGCTACATAGTGAGTTCCAGGGCAGTCTCAACTACATAGCGAGACCCTGTCTAAAAATAAAACAAAACAGAAAAACAATAATAGCTAGCATTTGTTGAACTTTTTGGGGGGGCGGTACTGGGGATCGAACTCAAGACCTTGCACTTGCAAGGCAGGAGGTGGCACCACTGAGCTAAAACTCCAGCCCATTATTGAACATTTTTATGCTAGGTGCTGTGGTAAGCATTTCATATGATTTTTTTTCTCCTTCCAGCACTGAAGATTGAACCGAGGGTCTTCATACTGAGCAGTATCTTCAGCCTTAAAAAATTACAGAAAGATTTTTTTTTTTGAGATGGGGTTTTGCTAAGTTGCTAATTTGCCCAGGCTGGGCTTGAACTTGAAACCTTTCTGCCTCAGCCTCCCAGAGTGCTGAGATTACAGGTGTGTGCTGTCACACTCAACTCATATGTTATCTTTTAAAGTTGTATTGGGTCTTCACAATGATCTAGTGAAGTAGGTCTGGTTATTATTCTCTTTTATCAAATGAATAAAATTGCAGCTTGAACAGGTCAGGTAACTGTGATCAAGGTCTAATTGCAAGAAAATAGCTGAACTGGAACTCCAGATCTGGCCAATTCTAAATCCATACTTTAATTCTTAGTACTATACTTTTGTCTTAGGATGAAGGAAGGGGATGAAGAGACAGTATAGATCAGTGGTGAACCTATGGTACATGGGCCACAGTGGGCTGTTTGTTATCATTGAAAGCTCTAAAAGTTTCACCATCACTGGTATAGATGATCTGTCCATCTCCACCTTCCAGTTTTTAGACCTGAATCTTGAGCCATGAATAAAAAATTTTTTCACGCTGAGGAAACAGGAGTGAGGGCTTAAGAGAGATTGGAGATACAGCAATGAGGGCTTTCAGGGAGAGAAAAGAGCATTTGTAAAAGCATAGAAGAAATGACAAATTTAGCATGGTAAAGACAGAAAGGATGGCATGGAGGTAGCAGAAGTAATCCTCATCCTTGGGATGGGTCCATTCTCGGTTCTCATTAAAGTTCTTATTAGTGCACTCAGGTCTTGGTCTCCTTCATTTAAGAAGAATGTGACCAGACTAGATTGTCTAGAGAAGAATGAGAAAATGATTCAAAGCAGGCAGAGGTAAAAGCAGAGGAGCTGGTGACTCAGAACTGTCTGGTAGGAAAGGTTGAGAGGGTGTAGGAGAACTGGAAAGGTGAATAATGGTGATGATGGTATCAGCTTTCATCTAGTGCTTACTCGGGTTAGGTGGCTTCTCAGTGCTGTATGTGTTCTAACTCATTTACTCTTCACAGCGAACTTGAAGGGAAGTACTATGGTAATTCCACAGGTTCATGAAAATGAAGTTGGAAAGTAACTTGCTAAGGCTGCAGAGCCAGCGAGTGATAAGGCTGGAATTTGAACCTAGATGCAGTGGTTTAGGAGTCTGTGTGCTTGTTTTCTACTGGTGTCAAGGAACTACTGGTTTTAAAAAGAGGAGGTCCCTAGAAGGTTTGAAAAATGTTACCTTAGTTTTACATTTTGTTTTTCTTCCCATAATTTACTTGAAAATTTTTTCTTTTGTGGTACTAGAGATTGAACCCAAGGCCTTCACACTGAGCTAAATCCCCAGATTTAAAATAATTTTTTTTTGAAACATGAACTTGCTAAGTCACTAAGTTGCCCAGACTGGGCTTCAACTTGAGGTCCTTCTACTTCATCCTTCCAAAGTGCTGTGATTACAGGCAGCGTTTGCCACCAAACTCAGCTCTCAATTTACTTTTTTTTTTTTTTTTTTGAGACAGGGTCTCGCTGTGTAGTTCAGTCTGGTCTTGAACTCATGACAGTCATCCTGCCTTAGCCTCCCCCAGTGCTGAGATTACAGGTGTGCACCACCATGCCCAGCTTCATTATTTATTTATTTATTTGTTTAGTTAGTTTTTTTTATTTTGTTTTTTTGGTGCTGGAGATTGAACTCAGGACCTTGTGCTTGCGAGGCAGGTGGTAACACCACTGAGCTAAATCCTTGGCCCCATAATTTACTTTTAATATGATCATTATTAACTTTAAGAAATAGGAGGGAACCTAAATAGAACATTGGGCCAGTAAAACAAAAATAAAACCCAAACCAAACTTTACATTTTTTTCTTATTTGCATTCCCTGTTCTTATCTTGCTGGTGTTTGAGGCAGTGGTAGCTTCATGCTGCAATCGTGTTGTACTTGGGGTAAGTTCCTCTGACCCCACGCAAGCTGCTGTATTCCTGGAGCAGATGTGTGTGTGTTGGGGTGTAAGGTGTGCAGGGAGATTCAGAGCCAGTGGTGATGCTGCCTTTTGGTTTGCTGTGGGTGGCCTTACTTGTTTGTACTTCATCTAGCCATAAGCCTATGTTTGGAAAAATGCTGGTGTGACCAGGTTTTTAATTTTTACCTAAGTGTTCTATCTATGATTTAAGATTGAAAAATGATAAATTCTATCCTAGATAAATGCAGATGTTGATTGCTCTGGTTTTTTGATGAGACCCCTAAAAATGATACTGGCATGCCTGCATTGTTCACTCCTATCTGTATCTTCCACAAAAACAAATACATTTAAGTGTTTGGTTGAACTTTGATTAGGTGTTCATATCGTCATTTCCTTGGAGATTACTGCAGATGCTCATGTCCGAGGTTACGTTGGAGAAAAGATCAAGTTGAGATGCACCTTCAAGTCAGCTTCTCATGTTACAGACAAACTGACCATAGACTGGACGTACCGCCCTCCCAGCAGCAGCCGCACAGAGTCTGTAAGTCTGCTCTTTTCAAAAAGTTTCCATGAAATAAAGCTTTGGTACATTGGGAGGGGAGGGAGCTCACGGGACAGGGGTTGTGTGTGAGATAAAATAAAATTTATTTAAAAAATCATTTGCACTTAAAGAAAAGAGGGTTAAAAAAAGTTTCCTTGAGTCTTTTGGCTTAGCAGTTTTTGAATCCTTTTATTGCTAGTCACAGGCATACACAAGGTCCTCTCAGAACAGAAAATGAACTGTTATGTAAATGGGAAGAAGTGAGCTTCTGCCTTCTGTGTCACTCATCTGGTCGTGTAGGACTTTTTACTTTTCCACATAAGAATTTTGCACATTGCCTGTAAGAAAAAATTGTCAGAAACCAAGAGAAAATGTGGTTTAATTTTGTTCCCTCTTTGTTGTTTCTTTTTCTTTTTTTGCACGATATTATAGCTTCATCTTTAGATTTGATGTATTAAAAAGTGTACCTGCAGAACTACTGGCTAGAAACATTTAATAGGTCTCAGTCAAGATATCCTTTCTCTTAGAGCTGCTCATTTCCTGTTGAGTTTTGTTGTCTCAATGGGTGTGTATCCCTTTGCATTTCTGTGGTCTGTAGATTTGTCTTGGCTTCTCCTCGTACCATGCAAACACCTGCAGTGATTTATATAGCTGCATTTAAAGGAAATGATGGCATATTGTGTTAGTGACAGAAGTTGTTAGTGGCAGATGGTCTCAGTAATTAGAAGCATTATACTTTAGTCACACATATAAAGCACATTTATGGTTCAAATGCCATTGTTGGCATCTAATTGAAGATTACAGTGCTAAAAGAAACCCTCTCTTTATGGTTCCATCACTATCCTTAGTTCAGAATGCGTGCTACTCAAGAATGTGAATGTCATAGCCATGTGTCTGACTGGATTTTTGAAAGTATTCTTAATTTTTTTTTCTGTTTTCCTTATCAGAGAAACTTTCCCTTCATATAAACACATCAGCTTTGCCTTCTATTTTAGGAGCTGTTATGGAAGACTGTGTAGCTTGGATCTAGATAGGCAGCTCTAGTGAAGGATGGTATGCTATAGTCATAGTTTCTTTTTCTTTAAACTTAAAAAATGGTTTGTTTTATTCTGAGTGGTCCAGAAACTATGGCTGGCCTTATTTGGTTCTACCTCTTGTCCAAAAGTAGGGCAGAGTAAGCAGTGGGGGAGCTTATTGGGTCAGGAACATTATATACAAACAGCAGTTCTCTTATGGTACTGTTTTCTGTGAGGTGATCAGAACATCAGCAAACTCACCCAAGTTAGAATTAGTGGACTCTTGGGCCGGGGATTTAGCTCAGCGGTTCGGTGGCCTGCCTTGCAAGCGCAAGGACCCGACTTCAATCCCTGGTACCAAAAAAAAAAAAAAAA